ATTCTCCTTAGGTGTTATCTCATTCATCACTCTTTCTTTAAACTGACCTTTTAGTTGTTTCTCCTCCAGTTTCCACCATTTGATTTTCGGTACTCCTCGCTGTTTTCCTCTCTTGGCACCTTTGACTCCGCAATCTAGTACTACAAGCCGGTGTTGAGCTGAAACACTTTCTCCCTTTATCACCTTACAATTTTTCACTTCTCCAAGATGGTTTCTTCTGCACAAGAGAAAGTCAATTTGACTTTCTCTGGCTCCACTTTTGTAGGTGATATACTGGTCAGGCGTCTTTTTAAAGAAAGTGTTTACTATTGCTATCTCGTTTGCCAATGCGAAGTCTATGATGCTCTCACCTTCTCCGTTTCTCTCTTCTACACCCCATCCACCGTGTCCCCTGGGCATTACCCCTCTTTCTGCTCCGATGTGCCCATTCAAGTTCCCTCGCAGAAACACTCTTTCCTCCTGCGATATCGACTGTATTTCTTCGTCCAGATGTCTCCAGAACTCTTCCTTCTCTTCCTCAGTACATCCCACTTGTGGAGCGTATGCGCAAACCACATTTAGAGCCTTACTTCCAACTCCCAACTTCACACTCATTATCCTATCGCTCCTCCTTCCCACTCTCACCAAATCCTCCCTCCATTTACTGTCCAGTACAATTCCTACACCGTTCCGCCCTTGGGCGTTTGCTCAGCTGTAGATGAGCTTACACCCTGCACCAATGTCCCTCGACTTGTTCCCCCTCCACCTCGTCTCCTGCACACACAAACCTCCCACCTTTCTTCTCTCCACCAGGTCTGCCAGCTCTCTACCCCTTCCTGTCATGCTTCCTACGTTCAGCGTTCCAACTCTTAGATTTTGGACTAACTTCTTTGGCCGCGCCCGTCCTTGACGCGGTAGCCCTCGCTCACTTCTCACAGGGGTCAGGCGAGATCCCTGCGCGTCGCATTCAGGGGACGCCCTGGCATTTTCCGAGGCTACATTCAAATGAACTGTCATTTTTTTAATTTTTTTGTTTTGGCAGGGTTTTCACGGCCGGATGCCCTTCCTGACGCCAACCATTCCCATTTATCTGGGCTTTGGACCGGCACCGAGTTGTGCTGGCTTGCACCACCAGTGGCTGGGTTCATGCTGTTTGAACATCAACATCCTCATATTTCAAATGTTCACGTTGTTTTAATTTCATCATGAAAGGAAAATTCTAGAGTATCAACAATTATGTTAATTATTTTAAATTGATTTAAAAATTGCTTTTTCATCTTCAGTAACTTCTTTGAGTTATGCCCCTCAGTGGCACAGCGGTATGTCTGCGGACTTACAACGCTAGAGACTGTGTTTCGATACCCGTGGTGGGCAGAGCACAGATAACCCACTGTATAGCTTTGTGCTTACTTAAAAACAAACATCTTTGAGTTATAAGAAATGAATTGTTCTCTATTACGTTAAAAAAGTTTGTTTTTTTTAAATAATTTTATTTATCGTTATTTGCTCGAAAACTTTGAAAATATTTCAAATCAATAAATCCAGTAGTTTTGCTGCATCATTTTACTGTTAGTCTATGAACTGGCATTTCTAGCCACTCGTGTGATTAGAATTATTAAGACAGATCATTTTCATCACATTTCGTAGCGTCATCACTACCATACCGGTACAAGTTACGACAACCGAGACCAACATTAGGATCTTGTTGTTCTGTAGTTTAAATGGCTCGGGACGCAACATTCCAAATGGCGTCCATTTTGCTGGTCACGAATTTACTTAAACTTATCTAAATAGCCAGCTTAATATAAACATTTACTTTTAAGTGACTTAAAATTTTGATCAAAATACATACAGCGATGATCACTGATCATCAAGATTCGTGAACTGTGTTTTATAATAATCGAATAAGATCATTTCGGTTAATATAACGATCTACTACAGTGGAAAATAATATATTCGAATTTTGCCTTAATAAGTACGTTATCAAACATAACGGTTTGATATCCATAACCCATAAAGTAACGGCTATGAGGCAGTTTTAAAGTTAGGCACCAGTGGCTCAGCGGTAAGTCTTAAGGGTTATAACACTAAAAACCGGGTTTCGATACCCGTGGTGGGCATAGCACAGATAGTTCATTGTGTGGCTTTGTGCTTAACTACGAAACAAACAAATAAGTTTTAAAGTTTATTCTGTATAAAAACAAATATCAGATTTTACTAGAAGTTCTAAGCCCTTCTTTATTAGCATATTTTTGTTGTTGTTTTCTCTGTGACTGTTTCAGTTTGTTTTAAAAATAGCTGTATGTACACTGTTTAGTAGATTATAACCGCGTTATGTCACCTAGTTGTTTGTATCTTCATTGAAGAGTCACAATTTGAGGAAATGTTAATTGTTTTTGCAGTATATTCTTCTTTGCCTTATAATATGATGGTGAATCCAACCGTGTATTAGTAAAAAGCAGCCTACGAGTTGGTGGTGGTTGCTGCCAGCCGGTTTCTTTCAACCTAGTCGACAGTTAAAAATTAGGGATTCTGACAGATAACTTTAATAACTTTACCGGAAACAAAGGGGAAACATGTTACAACAATAAGGTTTGTTTTGGACATTCGGGTAAAGTGTCACAAGAGCTGGCTGTCCCTAATTTTAAGGTGATAGACTAGAGGGAATGCAGTTAGTCAACAACATCTACCGACAACTTTTAGGCTACTCTAATCGAACTGTGAGATTTGACTTTCATTTTTATAATGCACCCACGGCCACAAAGTACGGAGCACAATGGGATGGATCTAAGTAACGGGAAGCCAATGAAAATCGCTCTTACTTCGTCCATTCATAATAATACTGACAAAAGGTGATTCGAACGTATTTACCCTTAATTTTAGAGGACTCTAGCATTTTAAAAGTTTTTTTTTTTTTCTGTTACATTATTAATATCTAGTTAGGCTTAAGCTAACTACATTGCGCCTGATGAAGACTCCAGCATTGGAGTTGTAAGCTTACACCAAATAAACCTTCAAACAACGTGTGGGAAAACATCTGTGTATTTTATTTTACTTTATGGTAAAATACAAATCAGTAAGTTGTTTAGTTAATCACAAACGGTATAAAACTCGGTCAAGTGTATACGGCATATTAATATATACTATTTAAAGAGTGTGAAGGAGAACGTCCTTTTAAATGTCAATACAGTTTAGATGCCAAACGTGTAAATATGGTGTATGATGAATCAACACAATCAAACATAAGCAAAATATAACTATACACGTCTTAAACGACATGAAGGAAAATGAACTCGTAAAAGTCAACAGAGTTTACATTTGTAGCAACAACACGTATCAAAAAAGTCTTTATATATATATATATGCTAGCTAAAATATACATTTGTAGCAACAATATACGTGTATATATATATAGTATATACTAGCTGGACTATCCGTCCCCTGGATGGACGTTATATAAATCTATGTGTAACGAAAGGTTATATTAGGACTTGAAAAGTTGCTTCCTTTGTATGCAATTGTGAAAAACACCCATAAAAACCGCAAAACACAAAATGTGAAACTACAAGTTTGTAAGTTCCTCCGCATGGACCCAACAAACCTTTATGCATCAACAGAGGGCGAAGTAGTAGTAAAAAAAAAAAAAAATGCCCATAAAATCGCACAACGCAAAATGCAAGACTGAAATTTTGTATGTATTTTCTCATGGACCTAATGAACCTCCATACCAATTTAACACACCCTGCGAAGTAGTTACATGGACATACAACAGACAGTATTTATATAGATACACAACATACATACAGTTTGTTATAGCTACTCCTTGGCTTTCTGCTCTAGTCGTTTCTAATTTAGAAGTGATAGACAACTCTTGGGCTACTATTTTATCAGTGAAAAGCTGTACTGGCCGTTACATTACTGTCCCTCATGGCTGATAGGGCGAGTGTTTGCGGTGACGGGATTCGAACTCGCGATTAGCAAATTGCGAATCGAGCGCGTGTTGAAAAAGACGGTAATTCATATTGTATATTTATACAATGTATCTCTGTATATGAATAAATATATATGTATATAAGTTAATATATAAAAATAATAAACCCACATGGATAATGGCCCCTGGTAAGTTTACCTCTTACAACGTTAAATTTCAGGGTTGGATACCCCGCGGTGGACACAGCAGGTAGCCTAATGTGACTTTGCTCTAAAACAAACACATGGATAATATATAACTGACAATCTAATTGGATTCACAAAACACTTATTATTTGCTAATTGAAGAAAACTTTAGTCTTGAGTTAAAAATAAGAGTTTCCTAAATATAACATCGCTATTATGTTCATATAATGGAGTTAATCGCCATTGAAACTGGCGAATCATCAACTGCTAATACTGCGTTTAACTAATATAAGTGCTAGGAAACTTTCCTGGCTTTCAAGGTGTGTGTTGTTGTTGTTGTTTTTTTTTTAATGACTTTAAGAATATAGAGAAGAAATAGCTTGATTATATACTTACTAGGAACAAATTTAATCGTAGCACATACACTGGTATACAAAACAGCATACTGTAGTTTCTCTGTCTCTCTCTTTTTCAGGATATTTAACTCAAAATTATCAAAGTTCCAATTACGTCTACTTCCAAGTTCATTTTGTCTTCTTAACTGAAAGCTTATGTGATTTACTAAAACTTATTAAGTTTTAATACAAAGTATATTCAGAGTCTAGAAGTTGCAAAAGGTTAATCGCACTTTATAGGAACGGTGTTCTGTCCTGTGCTGACCTTAACTTTATAGGAACGATGTTCTGTCCTGTGCTGACCTTAAACCTATTTTCTCCAACATCGTTCGTGTCCAGTCTGGTGAGCATTGTTACACAATTTCATTGTTGTGACTACTTCAAATGACAGCGGTGTCAACCTTAAACCATCTTTCCACAGACCCTCCACTGCATGTAGACAGTGGTTTCCAAGACTATGTATAAGTAGATCAAAAGGACGAAAGTCCATTGAAGTTGCATCAGAGGACTCGACAGATATATATATGGCCGATTGGAACAGATGTGATTCTAATTTCTTCAGCTATCTTTCACGTCAAAATATTTGTTGATTTCGTGTGTAACTAGAGGCTTATGAGCCTTTATCAACCTCGAATCCTTGTTTAATATATCATTCATCTCAATGGCGTCTGGATTGGAGGTTTCTCTCTTTTGTAACCATAGCTTTCATTTTAAGGTTGAGAGCATTACTCCTGATTGGCTTGTAAGTATTTTCGCTACCCTGGAGACCAATGAATATTCTATTCTTTGAGATATATATTCTGGATGTGCATCGTTTAACGATATCCTTCTATGACTATTTCTCTTTGAAAATAATTTGTATTACTCCCTCTCCCCAGCCATAACTCTTAACCATGACGAAAAACGTGCTGTAACACAAATATTTAGGTGCTAAACATGGTGACCATACTCCACAATGATTCGTCACTGTATTAGCATATGTAAAATATTATTGAAAAGTGCAAGTAATCCTCGTAATACGAATTACTAATTTTAGAAGGAATTTTTTTCGAACTTCTACGAACACTAATTTTTCTTAATTGCTGATTAATACTAACCAAACTTGCAACGGTTAATGGACAAGTATTTACATTAGGAACAATACAAAATATTTAAAACTTTTCGCGTGAAATTATTTTTAAAATAATAGTGTGCAATTACGCACTTAAATTAGGTAAATAATTAATGCGTAATCCAAAATAGCACAGAGAAAATAAGAATTGATTTTTTTTGTAGGAGAAAATTATTTTTCATGTATATCAAACTTTCTGTATACGATTGCCATATACAGAGACTACAGTAGTTTAAAATTGTTACGAGTTTAAAAAAAAATCTTAATTGTTGGTTTTACTAGGAAGTTAATTTAGGAAACGCAAGTGAATTATTATCATAGTAAAAGCCACATGTTGTGGAAGTAGTGTAAGAGTCTGAAAATCATGTAATAAAGGTCAAAAGAAGGTTAACTTTATAATTATACAAGAAAGGGGGTTTACTTACATGACCACTTTTTTTCTGCTTGTACGCAGTGAATTCAATGAAAAAAAAATTGACTAAAATAAAATCATAATCTTAGTAATATTAAATATTTTGAATGATTAATATCTTGTTAAAATAGATTTTAATCAGAATATTATAAGTCAGTCATATCACGTAACAAGTTTATAATAGGTGAATGGTCACATGGGCTTCAAAAGATAATCAACGTCTAGATATAGAATAAGCATTGTAACTACTATATTTTTGTTTTTGATAGATCATGAAAACTAACGAAAGGAGAAACAGTTACGGTAACTTTTTATTTATATCTGTGGGAGATATTGAATTGTACAGGACAAGTTGGTCCTGTATCCAACATTGACCTATATTACAATATAATTTGAGCATTCTCGTTAAATGGCTTGATATTTTAACGAATATGTAGATTTCTATACAAATGCATATACTCCTAGAAACAGTTTAGAGTATGCGCACTTTCAAATTGTCGAACGCGCATGGTCACTCTTTCAAGTGATTTTCTGTGTTACTGTATTTCATTGGTTATCTAACCAGGTCAGTTTTCTCAGTGATACACCTCGAGTGGTACATATAATGGACTTTCTCAGAAGCTAGTTGATTTCACATCGCCTGGTTAAGATAGACATCTACTTACTGTCTGCATTCACAAGTTCTTTAGTTGACTGACAGAGTTTAGTTACAAAGAGGTAAGACGATTTTGTTTGAATAGATGAACAAATTTCAACAAAATGAAGATGAATAATAGAACGTCCTGAAAAGATTATATTTTAATAAATTAATATTTTTAGCACATTTCATTCACGAACTGCTATTTTTCCGATACAAGACGATCTTTTAACCTTCTCTTTTGAAGTTTATGATTTTTTATTAACATTAATAGATCTAGTAATAACTGTTTACATGTTAACCATATCTCTGTCTTCAACAGTAAGAATGAACTTTAAAATGTTTTTCATATTTTCAGCACAAATATTAGAAAAGTTTATGACAGTCTATAGTCTCAAACATGATATTAATAATGTTATCACCAGTCAAAGTTTTGTGGTATCATTAGGTTAAACATGGTTTGTAATAACCTCTTCACGTATTTTTCATGTATAGCTATCTTTTGTTGAAGATATGTATTAAGTTATATGACAATAACTTAATGATTAAGTTTGTTTTAATCTTGAAAACATAAAACTTATAACATTAAACAATCGAGTTTAGGTACTCTGTTATGGGCAGAATATAGCGCCTATTGTGTAGCTTTGAGCTTAACAACAAGCAAACAAACCTTCGTCTTCATAACACTGAGATGAAAACATAAAACTAAAACTTAAAAAATCCAATTAAAACACCATATTTTAGCTTCTTCAAATTCTACTCGAGAGAGGAAATGAGTAATTTATTCCTTTTGTTTGCTATTATTTGTAAAATATTGAATTTGATACGTATACTAATATTTTCGTTTTTTTTAAGTATTAGATTATTAATTAAAATTTAAAATACTTAGAAGTAAAATAAGAAATTAAATTTTCTCGTTTAATTTATATTTTTCTCTTGTAGTGGTGATTATAAGTTTTAAGACAAAACATGTTTTTGGTGTAACGTTTTCTCTTCAAACATAAAAACAAATTTTCAAAAATAACTGAGTTTTCTAAGGCAGATGACATCCTTCAGAAAGTGCAAATTTATTGAGATCAACAAATGGCGTATGTTTGATAACTAAGAGAAAAATTTTAATTTTGAAATTAAAATCGCAAATAATTTCTCTATAAAAATAATAAATGTGAGAATATTACTAATATTTTAGGTTAAATAATTTTTCATTACTTTGTTAGCACAACTGGTTCTTTTATAAAAACTCGTGGGATGGTGATCAGATTTTTTATTTATTTTTTTTTCGTGTGTGTCATAACAAAATATTTGAACTTTCTGGAATTTAATAGGCCAAACATTTTTGATAAACTCTTGTCTGTCTCCATCCAGACCAAATGACGGATTCTGGTATTGTACGAAAAGTTTATTGGACAGTAACTTTTGGGCCACAAAAAGATAGATCTCAAGCTTTTTTCTTACTTTTCATTTGAAATTCGAAAAAAAAAGACAAATTAAGACGAATATGTGAAAATACCTTCACATTTTACGTAAATTTCATCACAACTGATTTCCAATGCTTCACCAGCTTTTGGCGTTTAAACTAAAACTTTCTAAAATTTAGTTTAAAGTTCTAAACATTCTTTTTCTTTATTATGTTTTCATACACGTCTAAGTACCGCTTTTATGATGTGGTTTTCCTTGAAAGTTGGGTAGCATGATGTATGAGAATGGTACTACAATGTACAATATTTGGTATTTTCAACCTGAACAGCGCTCGTGCGAAACATGGGCTAAGCAGTCATGTATAAAACATCAAGGTTCAGGCGTTGCAATCCTTAATTTAATAATGCTGACCATAAAGTGGGTAACCAATCAACAGGACCCGTGTCCTATACGCTACTCTCACCCGTATAGTGGGATTGACTATTACGGTTATAGCGTTTATACGGCTGAAAGTGTGGAACGTGCTCAGCGGCATATCGCGGCTCGAACCTTGGCCCAACACACGAACCACAAGCTTACACCAAACGAAACCAAAAATCTCTTCGCTTCCACAATTATCATTTGCAGACTTTCTGCTGTTTCATGCCAAAGACCTAGATTAATTTGTTTGTTTGTTTTTGAGTTTCGCACAAAGCTACACGAGGGTTATCTGCGCTAGCCGTCCCTAATTTAGCAGCGTAAGACTAGAGGGAAGGCAGCTAGTCATCACCACCCACCGCAAACTCTTGGGCTACTCTTTTACCAACGAATAGTGGGTTTGACCATCACATTATAGCGCTCCCACGGCTGAAAGGGCGAGCATGTTTGGTATGACGAGGATTCGAACCCGCGACCCGCAGACTGCGAGTCGAGCGCCCCAACCACCTGGCCATGCCGGGCCCCTAGATTAGTGATTTGTAATACAAAAATAAATAAATAAATCAAACTTCTACACTAAATATGATTAGAATTATTGATATTCTAGTTCCTATATTTATTTCACTGATCCCCTCCCACCAGGACTAGGCAAGCTGGGACCGGATCTGATTGTTCTATTGTCTCGTTTTCCTGTTGGAGATTTACACTCATATATTATTCGCAAACTACTTTAAATATTAAACAAAAAATGTTAAAAGACAAGATCTGAAGCAATAAAAACAACAATTTAATAGCGGAACTATTCATGTTAGCACTTTGTATCAACTTTCCTCGGGTAACAAGCAATACGTTGACCGTCAACCGAAACGCGTAACAAGGACTTGAACTTGTTTTAGCTTGATCTTCGTAACAACAGGTGGATAACCTGCGCTGTAATGTGTTTATTGCAAATCACTTACACGTGACAACCTTAGCATGCTTTTTACTATAATTTACACGTTGATTTATTCAATGAATTATGGCTTTCACTTATTTGTAAGATGAGTGAGTCGTTTGGCTAGTCATCTCTGCCAATAAACATGAAACTAGTAGATAACAGTCTGAACCAACTAAATGTAGTAAATCTGATAAATTATTCCGCCAAACATAAAATAATGTAAAACATGTAGTTATCGTACCGATATATATATATATATTTAAAACTAATTAATTAGACACTTTAATAAAGCAACGTATAGGGTTAAGATAAATTGTAATGGGCCACCTACAAGCTGAGCTCTAGCATGTTGAAATAAAATAAATAACTACTTAAAACCAAGAAAACCAAATATCGAAATGGGTTTACGTGTCCAGTTATATAGACTTTAACTTAATACCCGTTCGTGTGTTATTTAAGACTATTGTTTTATTAGAAGAAATGAGTTTACGTGTCCAGTTATACAGATTTCAACTTATTACCTGTTCGTGTGTTATTCAAGACTATTGTTTTATTAGAAGAAATGAGTTTACGTGTCCAGTTATACAGATTTCAACTTATTACCTGTTAGTGTGTTATTTAAGACTATTGCTTTATTAGAAGAAATGAGTTTACGTGTCCAGTTATACAGATTTCAACTTATTACCTCTTAGTGTGTTATTCAAGACTATTGTTTTATTAGAAGAAATGAGTTTACGTGTTGGAGTTGTGTAAAAAACATCTTAATATATGTTCGCTTTTAAAAAGCCTAATGTTTTTCTTCTCGGGTTCATTGTCTGCAGGTTTACTTCTAACGTGTATGCTTTTAAAATTATTTAAGCCACATTTCGTAAGAACTTTAAAAGATTGACTATGATTAACTGTAAAAACATGCACTATTGTTGACAAAACTGTATTAAACCCTAAAGCAATCATCCGAGAAACATTCAACACTAGACACTGTGCATTAACCGAGTAACCCAGTTTACAAACACAGTATTCACATCAGATTAAACACCACGCTCTAGAAAAGTATACAACATATGGTGATCTTATGTTCATTAAGAAAATATAGTAAGGAAACTGATATCAGTAGCATAAGAAAAATAAACTGATATCAGTAGCATAAGAAAAATAAACTGATATCAGTAGCACAATAAAAATAAACTGATATCAGTAGCACAAGAAAAATAAACCGATATTTCACACATTCGTTACAGACAGTTTCAGCTTTGAGTTGTGTTTATAAGAATTATATTCTGATGTTTCACGTAGTATATAACATTTAGTAAGACAACTTTATATTGCCAAATTTTAAGTGTTTTTAATTTTATTTTATGTATCTTCAAAATATAAGAGGCTCCCAGAAATGCATTGTTTGCAATGAAGGAAAAATATTTCCATCATAAACTTTGTATTTTGATCCAAAATATATATATCCAAGGATATCAGTTGAACGGGTATAGCAATAGTATATAGTTCTTTAGCTTTTATATGTTGATCCGAAATGATATAGCTATCAACATCAGTTCAACAGGAATAACAATAGTATTTAGTTATTTGGCCTTTATATGTTGATCCGAAAAGATAAATATAAGTTGAACAGGTATAACAACATTTGTTACAATCCTGCTATCAAAGGTGTTTATTCTATATGAAACTGCAAGCGTTCAAACTTTCTAATCTTTTAAACATGTTAGTTGTATCTAGTTATAACTATCGTGTTATATCTATCTTATACCAAGCCCGTAGCTGGGTCTGGAAGTAGGGGGTTGTATTTGGTCCAAAGTCGAACTCGTTTCGTGTGTAACTTTTGTGACCAGGAACGAAAAAAATATCCAAAATATGTAATGGTTCCTTTACTATCACTGCAAGTAAACATTTATAGTATATTTCCACTAATATGCTATTTCCGTATGTATGCACAGTGTTACAAAAGCGAGTATAAGCCATCATCGAAGAAAGGAAAAAATATATATCCCCCTTTCTACAAGCTTGCTTATACAGCAAGGATTTTATAGAATTCGTGTAGCGACCAGTAAAATGTTTTATAAAGAGCATGGCATTTTGTTTCCATGAAATTAATAAAAAAAATTTATACAAATCCGAGGTCGTGACTAAAGCAGAAACTGGTGAACCTTGGGCTGGGCAGGCCTTTATTTATAATCATAAACTTGCCAAGGTTTTTCTTTTTTTTAAATGATTAAAGTTGATTAGAGTTCTTATTCATTGTGGTGTTTTTCGTTCCAGTTATTCCTGTCGTGTCAGTATTAGAAGGTGTGATCATTG